ATAGGGAAGGCTCAAAAGACAGGGATAACAATACAGGAGGAAGATAAATAGAGAATTTAATTGTTGGGAAGAGAAACCTTCAGAAAATGTTAAAAGATACTGTATAATCTATTGGCATTACTGCCAGCATTCCATCCTCCTATTCCCCTCTGCTTCCTACCCTCCATCCTCAGTGATTCCTTCAAGCCCATGGCTTCGGCCTCCACTTGGATGCACAGGACTTACAAATTTCTATCTTCAGCTCCAATTTCTCTCCTTAACTCCAGGACCATCTGTCCAAAAACCTATATTGGAAATATCTACTTGGTGGCCCTGATGCATCTTAAACCCAATATGTACTAAACTATATTCATTATCTCCCTTCACCCAAACTTGTTCTACATTCTTGATCTTCCAGATCCTTATTCTCCTCTTTATTTCCTCTGCCCATGCTGGATACAAGTCTAATAGCATTATAACAAATCTCTCCTTAGCATGTTCTATGCCTTTCCTGCCTCTAATCTTCCCTCAATTTAATATGTCCTCCACATTTCTGCCACAGTAATTGCCCTAAAAGGAAAAAAAAATTCTACTTCTTTCCTTAAAACTCTGGTAGAAAGATCCCTTTTGAGGAAAATGTCTTATGATCTGGTCCCTGTATACCTCTCTCCAGCCTCAACTTCTACTTCTTCCCCCTTCCTGTTTTATAATAACTGACCTGGAGCGTGCTATACTTCAGCTCTTTATGCCTTCCTCCGTGTTGACACCTCTGCCTGGGGTGTCTTGCTCTCCTTGCCTACTACATTTTATTCACAATCTCACTTCCCCTTAGAGGATTACTCACTCTTTCTCTTGTGCTACCTCAATGCCTTGTACTGTTTTGAAATATATTTCTTTATATATCAACATTCCCTCCTAGATGGGGTTCTGTGATGGTTAATTTTAGGTGTCATCTTGACTGGGCTAAAGGATGTTAGGAAAACAGCGTTTTGGGGTGTGTCTGCAGAGGTGTTACCAGGAGAGATTAGCATCGAATTGGTAGACTGAGTAAAGAAGATAGCCCTCACCAGTGTGGGTTGGCATTATCTAAACCATTGAGGGCTTGAATAGAACAAAAAAGTGAAGGAAGGAGGGTTTGTTTTTTGCTTGAGCTGGGACATTGATCTTCTCTAGACCTAGGGCACCGGCACTCCTGGTCCTTCCATCTCAGAATGATGCCTACAGCATTGACCCCCCTAGTTCTAATGCCTTTGGACTGGGATTGAATTATACCAGAGGCTCTCCTGAGTCTCCAGCTTGCAGATGGCAGATTGTAGGATTTCTTGGCCTCCATAATTGCACGAACCAGTTCCTATAATAAATATCCTCTTATATGTATCTGTCTATTTATATATCTTATTGGTTCTGTTTCTCTGGAGAAACCTGGCTAACAGCAACTTCATTCCGTGAAGTCTTGGTCATCTATAGGTAACCTGTGCCTGTAAGTTTTTGGCTTCGTCAAACTGTGCCAATGTATACGTCCTATTTTACTCGAATGGAAATAGCACAAGTCCCCTCCAGTCTACCAGGAATGGGCATTCTTTCAAATGGCCATTTGCCTATTTTTGAGAGGTTTTTAGGGGACCACTTTAGTCTTACCCCTACTCAGGTTTGGGGGTGAAGAAGACCCATGCAGCTACTAGCCTACAACTGCTACCATCCTTGGAATTTGGAGGTCAAACATAATCTTAGAACCCTCACCAAATCCCTGGTGGGTCTCTACATGGAGAATTTCTCAGCATCTCTAAGCTTGTGATAGACCACTTGACCTAAGACCACTAAGTCATTGGCTGCCTATGACCTACATGGCCGGTCCCCAAAAGTTTACGTTGGCAAATCAGATGCTCTTACTTGGAATTTGAAGTTTAAAACACTGAAACATGTTGCCAGTTGGTAGCAGAGGAAGAATGTCAAAGGATGCTAAATGGTAGTTCCAGGATCCTGGCCAATCAAATCATGGATAAATCACTGTAGTCAGGAGCCAGCAAGGCTGTGAGTGAGTAGGGGAGTCCAGCTGGGGAGGTGTGGAAAGAAGCAGATGTATGGAGAGTAACAGCAGCAGGGGGGAGCTTGAGACCTTCTGCCGCTAATGTCTTTAAAAGACACCTCAAATCCAGAACACCCTGAAGCTTTAGTTCCCATCCCATGAGGACTGCTGTACCATGGCTCAGTGTCAATGAGATCCTGTGACATCCCTGTCTCCTCCTTACCTCTTATTTATTCTTGCAGTAACAACCCCTAACCCCCAACGCCCCACCCCGCAATAACCAGATTGAGTTGATCTCTGTTCTTTCCATATTAACAAGCTGAGACTGTACCCTCAGCTTCTGGGGTACTGTTACTGGTCCAAACTACAATTGCTTAACTTTCTGTCTTAGGGTATGTTTTTCCACGTGGCCCACTGCAGGAGCCCAATTAACTCTCATTGAATGACACCATAGGGATTTTAAAAGGAGGAAGAGCAGTGTAAGTTGCTGTGATCAAGCAGAGCTTCCTGGAAGAGCGAGAACTTTCTTGGGAGATGGCTAGAGGGGAGATATTGCAGGCCTGAGAGCACGTAAATAACCCTAGGTCCTGCTAAGGAAAAGGTCGGTTAGAGAGCATTCATTTAAAATTGTGTGGGAACGCTGAAGGCATGAAAGTCTCTCATGAATTTTCAGGCTGCCAACAACCCCTCTCCAATATCCCCAAGTCATCACTTGGATTAGTCTGACCCCAAAACTTGGGAACGACAAAGAATGACTATTAAAGAAATCACACTGCACCACGGAAGATGGAAAGGTAAAATTGTGCTGTAATAATCCTGCAGACAGAATAAATGTTGTAGTGGATTATTATGTTGTCTAAAAACAGTCTTTGTGAATGGGGAATGACACGTGAAATTCGCAGCTATTTACTTTGCAGTGCTTCCATTTCCATTTATTTGGAGTGATGGTTACTCCGTTCCAATGCCTCCCCCTTTCCGTCATCTTGGCAGTGGGAGATAACCTGACGGGTGCACTCGGGAACTCTCTCAAGGTACAGCCGCCAGAGTTCTCCAGAATTCTGGAAAGTTCCACTTCTTCAACTGTGTTGGAGAAAGAGAGAGAGAGAGAGAGAGAGAGAGAGAGAGAGAGAGAGAGAAAGATACAAAGAGAGGATGGGTAGCACTGGCCAGCAGCCATGGAGACAGACATTTGTGAAAAGGCATTTATGCAGAAACAGCCCAAGGTGGGGAAGATACTTGAGGGTAAAGTGAAACCCTTTAATATGCTTGAACTTTGTAAACTTAAGTGTGGCATATGTATCCTCTAAACCTAAACCTCCCTAGCATTTTAAATTAACTTTTAATATTTTTTTTACTTTTGGAAACTAAGAATATACCCATTTTGTTGGTTGATTTGCTGGCTAGGCCTGTAATGTTTCCTAAGAAAGTATCTCCACTGTTTGCCTTGGTGCTTTTGCTCATGTTGTTTCTTGGCCTGGAAGCTTTTCAGTTCTCCTCACCCTGCAAGGCCCAGGCAGCGCTTACCTCCCGGTGCCGCTTCCCTATCGAACCCAGGGGAAGTTTTCCTTCTCTTGCTATGTGCCAGGACAGTCATTAAATCTGTGCAACGCGGGGAAGGCACAGCATTCACCGTAGTCTGCCTTGGATCGTTTTCATATTCTTCTCTTAAACCATTGCCTGCATCTGTGTTTGTTACCTACGTTTGCCAGGCCACAAACATCTGGGGCTTTCACAGAAAGGTAACAATCGGTATTGTATTTCTCAGGCGTTGTCCTCACCTGCAGAGGCAGGTCCTTCTGCCTCCCTGGAGTTCATCCGCTGGAGTTCTGAGGGTCCCCTGGGTAGCCCATGTGTGGCCCTGATAATGTCCTCTGCATCCTGCTCTGACTCTGGTCAGCGATGAGGGCTCCTGGTGAGGGTTCTCTGATTCTCAATGCTTGATGCCCTCAGAGATCTGGGAACTTGCTGCTGCCGCCGCCTGCAGAGCCCAGGGCCACACTGAGCTGACACTGCCCTGCCTCTTCAGGGCACACTGTGGGGGTCCCTCAGTGGGCTGCCCTGAATTGGCCTCTCAGCTGAGCTGGGGGAAACCCCTGATTTTCACTGCTGTGTGTTTCATGGGTGTAGACCAGTAGGACTTTGCTCCCAATGTTTTATAGATTTTTAGCTCCAGAGCTCTTCTCATTTTCTTTGCTGTCTCCTCCTCTTAGAATGCAGCGGGGGAGTCCACTGAGACTGCACCTTCAGCTCCTGAGGCACCATTACTGGTCCATGTTACAATTGCTTAACGCTCTGTCTTAGGGTGTGTACGTTCCAGGAGACCTCTCAGTAATAATATGCTGCAGGCAGGCACAGGCTCTGACCCCTTCCCCCACAGAAGCCTTGCAACGAACTTATGAGCTTGGTACTCCTGTGTCCAGCTGAAGAAGCTAAAGCCCAGAGAGGTGAAATAATTTGCTAAAATTGCCTAGAAAATTAGTGGCAGAACCAAGCTTCCTGATTCCCAGTCTAGCGTTTCTTCCTCCGACCAGTGACTTCCCAGCTCTTCCTCTTTTTATTTTTTTTGGTCAGTTTTAAATTTTATCTCATGAGCTTAAAAGGTGAATAATACGTGTTTCAAACTCATTTATTATTAAACTTATTAAACTCATTTATCTCAATATGTTTACATAGAGAACAGATACAGGATTTCAGGTAACTTATGGCAGAGGCATAGTCCATTTAAAAATAAGCTTCTTTCTTCCACAAATACTGCATTGAAAGGCAAAACAATTTTCTTCTATACTGCATAAGAGCTAGATGCAAACTTTTGTTGTAAATTTATTTCATTGTCAATTCTCATGCTAAAGCTGGGAGGCACAAAGGTTCATAGTTCAGTTACTAGTAACTGATACAAACAAAAAGCTTCAGTTTCTCTCAGATACAAATCAGAAACCTCCATTCACGTCTCTTACAGTAGTATGTCAGACTTCATTGTCTTGCCAAGTCACTTCTTCTTTCCTTTCCCTTTTTTACTTCCTTCTCCTTGCTGAAGAGTTTGGTCACTATCTCCTGCTTTTTGTGTCCTTGTTTTTAGTTTAGGAATCATTTCCGCTGTATACAACATTACTGACTTATGTGATGGGACTTGTACAAGACAGAGGCTGCCAACTTCCTATTTGAGTTGAACCCGGACTCTGCCCCTGTACTGAGCATTACAATTCCATTCTCTGGAGTACATTTTGTTTTTCTCACAAAACGCATTAAATCCAATTGCTGAGTGCACACCTTGAATCTCTGTAGCTGTAGGATTTTCAACAGCCTTACTTTTGGGGATCTGCCTGCCCTCCGAGATGATCTTCTTGTTATTTAAATAAGCAGGGTATATATATAAAAGGCTAATATGCAAAATGTCCCCTCGGGAGTTCAACCTGGAGACCAGGAGTTCAATTGCTCGCTATGACGTACGCTGACCACCAGGGGGCAGTGCAGAATGAAGGGAGGCCCTGGCTGGCAGCCAGAAGGCCCCAATTGGTCCTGATCACCCGTCAGGCCGAGGGACCCTACCCATGTACGAATTTCATGCACCTGGCCTCTTAATACAAATAAACCTGTCTTGGTCGGCTGCTGTGCAAGCCATCTCTGCCCATGCCCACCGGGCTGAGACCCACCAGATCATCCTCTTTTTAAAACCAAATATGTCCCACCCTGGCTGGGTAGCTCAGTTGGTTAGAGCATTGTCCCGATGTGCCAAGGTTGCACATTTGATCTCCAGTCAGGACACATACAAGAATCAACAAATGAATGCATAAATAAGAGAGTAACAACAAATCGATGTTTCTCTTTCTCAAATCAATCAATAAAAATATTTAAACCAAATATGTCCCTTTCTTCAAGAAACCCAACATGTAAAGCAAATATGGGTCGGCAGTAGAGGTGCGGGTCAGCCTATGAACCAGGAGGTCATGGTTCGATTCCCGGTCAGAGCACATCCCCAGGTTGCGGGCTCCATCCCCCATAGGGGGTGCGCAGGAGGCAGCTGATCAGTGATTCTCTCTCATCATTGATGTTTTTATCTTTCCCTCTCCCTTCCTCTCTGAAATCAATAAAAATATGTTGCAAAATATAAAACAAATATGGCTGGGGCTGCTCTAGACGAATACAGGATGAATGTGGGGGTTTCTTTAGCTCGGCCACACCTTCCCCAAAGGCAGCTGGGCCCTGAGCTCTGTCTGAGGAGTGACCCCCCCGAAAGACTTCTCCTAGAGTTCCCAGTCTCATCCAGAACACAGATGAGCTCCCTGTCGCATCAAAAAGGGAAGTTTCCCACCTAGAAGGATACAAGTTCATTTTTACACAGGCCAGCAAGAAACACAATTTTACCAGGTTTTGTTTTATTTTTCTCTCTCCCCCCGCCATTTCTCTTGAGTCACATCTCCAAGTCTCTGTGTGTTTAATCTGTCACTCATCCCTTCTTCTCTGCGAGCCCCTTTAGCTGAGCCACTTTCATCCTGGCAGGTGATCACCACAAGCCTTTAAGGAGTGGTAAAATGAGATGGAGAAATAATCAGAGGCCTCAAAGCTGCTTTAGGTGATGTTTGTACTGTCTCATTCACCCTCCCACTGGGCTTCAGGTTTTCCATTCAGGCTCATGAATGCCACACCCAGGGCATTCCAGCTGAGCTCTGTGTAGCTGAGCCAAGAGTTTGTAGACAGCTGGAGGAAAAATGTGCTGAAGAAGCACGACCTCTGTGCTGTCACCCCAGTAGCTTGAGCCGGGGCTAGCATGACCAGGTGCTGAGATGGTCGGCCTGCCCTGTGCAGTGGAACAATGTGAGGGGAGTGAGCAGCACCTAAAGCAGCACCTAGCGCCTCCCTGGGCTGGGAATGACTGCAGAATGAGCAAGCATCAAGGAGACAGGACAGACTCACCAAAGAGAGAATGGTATGTATGAGCCATTCAGAGTGACTCATGAGATTTCCACCTGATAAAGGAATGTTGGCTTTTCCTGGACATGCTTTAGGAAATGCTCAGCTCTAGAAAACCCTCACCCAAATGCCACACACTGCAAAGCCCAGACTTCCTGTTTTTCAGATAGGGGAAACAAGACTGTAGAAGGGAGCTGGATCCCAAAGTGGCACTTTGAGGCACCTCCATGTTTCAGGTGTGGATTCTGGTTTAAAATGGTTATTTGCCCTGGAGAGACTGTGTCAAGAGTATGGTCACTTGCCTGCTCTTCCTGAATCTGCACATGTAGTGGCTGAGAGCTATTCCTGGGCCACCTTTCCAGATGATAGCTCTGGGACCTTGATGAGTAACTATAACTTACATTTCCATAGCAGTTTATAGTTCTTGAGGCACTTTACCCAAATATATCAGACAGGATTCTGCACAGGTAACAGAAATCACTCTAGTAGTTTAAGCAGAAAAAGACTGACTTACTATAGAGGATTAGGGGCTTGCAAGGAGCGGGATTCAGGCTGGGCCTCCAGGAATGACTTTCAGAGCTGTATCCCAGAACTAGCTTGACCAGAGAGTGCCTACTTCTGCCACAATCAGGAAGACACTGCCAGAAATGTTGGCTCCAAGAATATATGGCCTTCATTGTAATTTGGGGGTCAGAACTGCTGCCTCTAACACCATGTGACTCCAGTTTTGATTTGCACTAGCAGAATGCGTACTTCATGTCCACCCCTCTCTCTTCTTAACTTTTAAAATCCAAGCTCTGTGCAAGGATGTCTGCATAGTAGGACCCAAATTACCCTAAAACATAGCTGCAAGGGAGTCTAGAAACTAAGTGTTAGCTTTCCAGCCTCTGCAGTACAGAAAGGCACACTAGAAAATTAGAATAGACATTTAGTCTGTATCTGCCTTCCCATATTACTATTCCTGGGAAATCTGGAAAGTGACAGGAGAAGTGGTAGCCTCATTTAGCACATGAGGAAAATGACGATGGGGCTAGAGAGACAATAAATGGGGAGATGGGGAGGTCAGGGACTGTTGCCCTAAGCAAGTATAGTTTGTGTTGAGATGTAAAGAATGCTACAGGTTAAAGTAGATGAAGGGATGAGTGGGAACAGTATTCCAAGAAGGAAGAATAGCATGCATACAGGCTCCAAGACTGGAGGGCTTGTGATACAACTGCAGAACTGGAAGAAAGAAGGGACATACTTGTGGGGCAGTGAGAAAAGGATGTGAAAAGCTGGAGAGGCGTCAGGGACAGATAGGCAAGCCCTGTGGGCCTCATTAAGAATTTGGCCTTTATCCCAAGAGCAATGAGAAGCCATTCAAGCATTTTATGGAGGGAAATGGTTGGGGGAGGTGTGTGTGTGTGTGGGGTGGGGTGGGAGGAGCGGGGGACCAGATCATATTTAAGTTTGAAAAGATCACTGGTATGCGTGCGCGTGCGTGCGTGCATGTGCGTGTGTGTGTGTGTGTGTGTGTGTGTGTGCTGACCCCATGCCTGTATTTGCTTACAATGGTCCACCATTTGCCAACAAACTATCATTATTGTCATGTATTGCTGAAGGGGTTTTATTTTTGAATCATTTGCTTTCTTTCATTCCAAGCAACAGGAGAAAAAAACCAATAGCACAAAGAGGTCTACAAGTCTGGGAAAGTATTTTGGGGGTTTTTACATTTGTATAAATAAAGGCCTCTGGGGGAACCATTCGTTTCCTTTGTAGCTGCTTTAGGATGTTAGGGAGGGCATTCAGTGTGAGCTGTTGGAAGTGCTTCTGCACATTGTTCTGTGGGTGGAGCTCCAAAAGGTGTGGAAATGAATCAGCAGGCGAGGCCTCCGCTGGTGCCTCTGGTCCTCTAGAAATGGGCAGCTGCTGGGCTGCGGGCCCTCTGTCGGCGATAGCTTGGAGGAGGGTAGGTCTTCTCTCGGGGATGAGCAACTGGCGGTTGGCAGCCTGTGAATGAGGGCTGTTCCGAAGAGATACAAAAGCATAAATTTAAAAAGCCGTCAGATGTGACTGTATTCCAAAGAGACCACACGTTTTAAAAGAACCAGCCTCTGAGAGTCCCAAGACTCAACTTCTTCAGGAAGCCTTTCTTCCCAAAAGAACCCAACTCTGCTAGCACCTTCCTCCCACATGTATGAATGCGGCGTCCCGCAGGCAGTCCCACATCATTGGAAACCCTGGCTCTGAGTCCCAATTCTTAACCAGGATGTAAGTTCCTTCAAGGAAGGCATCATGCTCTTTAGATGTCTTGGTATTCCTCACAGCACCCATCTTGGTCAGTTCATGGAAAATACTCATGAATCCCAAAATATTTTTTACTTTTCATTGGGTCATGATAGCCGTGGGGCAGGGTGTCCATGGACCAGTCTTTCGGAGCCTTTGCTTAAACTACCAATAAACCCTCAACAGGGCTTTTCAGCTCTGACCTCTTTCTGATTATCCTGAGCCTATACACTGGAGGGTTGTCCACACTGGCCTGAGACCAGCGGCCAAGTGCAGGAAGTGTACTTTGCGAGGTGACACCTGGAACAGTGAGTGGAAGCAGCTGCAGTCCTTTTGGCCTCTCCCTTCCTGCAGAGGTGTGCGGTCAGAGCGTTTGAGGCACAGGTGCGTTCTGAGGCACAGTATTAAAAATTGCTAAGGTAGGGGACCCTATCGATGTGATTTGGCTGTCGTGCTGTCTGCCTTTCAATGCCACCTTTACCCACCTGTGGAAGGTTTGGGATTGTGGTACACTAGTTTCTCTTTGTATGAACAACTAGGGTGTGTAAAGCCTTGGTGCTGTGAAACTTGCTTCTTTGCTCAATTCGAGCACCCGCTGGTCATCCCGGCTTCTCCATCTGTAGCTACCCAATGGGAATATAAATCCCAGAGAATCATTTCTGTTTATATTTAGGGGATTCTCAAAGGACTAGATACCAAGAAACCAAAGCATTACCCATTTTTTTTTCCATTGAAAAAGGATAACAATGAAGTGATAAACGATTAATGAAGTAAACCATTATGGACAGATAGTGTCATCAAAGTCATAGAGATAAGAAGTAGAATGGTAGGTACCAGGACTGGAAGGAGGGAGAATGGTGAGGTATTGTTTAATGGGTACAGAATTTCAGCTTGGGGAAGATGAAAAATTGCTGGAGATAGATGGTTGCACAACGATGTGAATGTACTTAATGCCACTGAACTATTCACTTAAAATGGTAAAATTTATGCTATGTATATTTTGCCACAATAAAAAATAAGCCATTTTGAACAGAACATTGTCTCATTGAAAAGACACGAAACTTGACTTTTCACTCGAGTGCTGTGTGTGTGTATTTATATTAAAAGTAACCAGTTTCCTGAAAACATAACCCACTCCTGGCCAAGAGGCTCTTTTCCTGTGCATTTGTGCATCCTGAAGCTGGCTCCACAGCATGTTGGTCAGGAAGTAGGTGACTCATGGGCCCTTTATGACAGATCCCTGAGTCACACACACACATACACACACACACACACACACAGGCACACACACACGAGTCTGCCCCCACCTCACCCCCTCAAATGGGCTTCTAAGACAGGCAGTGATTTGGGCACTGGAGAAATGTGCCTGGGCATGGCAGGAGGCCGCCTGGTGCCCATTGCCAGGCACGTTCCTGAGCGGCCTCTCCCGTGGCTTAGTAATAGGCT